CCCCAAAACCCCAAAACCCCATAAGCTTGAATATAAACTGAATTTGAATATAGACTTCTTATATTATAAGATAAAATGATTAAGTTCTCATTTGCAATGCTAGCATTTATTTCCATTATTTCTGTGGCTAAAATAGCAACTTCTCCAGTCCTAAAGAACTCACCTTTTAACATATTTGAAACTAAAGCATCAAATGCTAAGCGTGATCCAATTATCGATATAACTTTTGGGGCTATGGCAGGATTAGGTTATGGAGCAGATGTATTTCTAGATGATTGCTCTTAAGCTGGACTAGAGATGGTTGCTAGCGCTTTTATGGCTTATAACTGGATCTCAAATGATGTGTATACTCTGCCTGAAAAGATAATTGGACCAATTCCTGATATTACTTAAATTGGTTTACAAACAGTATATATGTTTAGATGCATTACTGGAAGGTCAATAACTGAAGTTTCTAACTATGTTGCCATCAATAAAGTTGTTCAGTCCATTTTTGGAATATATTAAGCCACTTTCTCATTTATTCCAAGTGATTAGAGATTCGATTTATTCATAGGAACATTTTCAGCTTTAAAGATGCTATTTGCTTCACTCGATACAATTAAATATTTCAAAATTAAAGGATGGGATATCAATGGCTGATCTGAACCTTACAAACAGAGAAAATATCTGAAATAGTACAGTGATAGTTTTAATGTCGTTAAGTAAATGTTAAATTATTATTTAATTTTAAAGTTGAATCAGTATTTGATAATGATCAGATTGAAATTTGGCATTTCAGTAGTTAAATTGTTATTTAGAACTTAAAAGGGATCTACCAGCAAGTGATTTCTTTGCTAAGGATCTATAGTTATCTTTTAGTTATTCCAAACTAACATCTGTGCCCTCAAGCATACCTTCACCCTATTTCTTGCCATCAATATAGAAAACATTGTACTTAGCTCCATTTGGCCACACATATGCTGCCTTTCCATGTTTCTTGCCATTTCTCCAAATTCCTTCAAGTCTTTTTCCATCTGTATAATGAAGAATTCCGTTACCGTTACACTCATTATCCTTGAAATCACCTTCATAAACTTATCCATTCGGCCAGAAGTATTTGCCTTTACCATTTCTTCTTCCTAGTTTCCATTCTCCCTCATACATTCTGCCATCTGGCCATTAGAAGAAACCAAGACCTTCCATCTAATCGAATTTGAATTATCCCTGAAATACTTCTCCTCTAGAAGTTACTCCTCTTCCAAATCCATGTGTATGACCATCAGCAAAATAACCCTCATAAATGGATCCATTTTAGAATATTTTAATACCTCTACCATCTGGTTTGCCTGAAATATTGTTAATCTCTCCTCTAAAAATAGTTCCTGATTTTCTCTAGTCAAATTTATTGACTAAAGTTTTATTCTCAAGCAAATCCTCGTCAATCTTCTCCATATAGAAATCAAAAGGTCCTAATTGCTTATATATTTTGGCTATTGCTTCGTTTTATTGTATATTAACAACATAGTCGTAATTATCTAAAGCTAATTAATGATTTGTTTCTCTTATGAAACTAGTTATTCTCTCTTTCAAGTCAACCTTGATTTGATTAGTTGCTAAGCTCATATCTTCTATCTATAGGGCATACTTAGGCATGTAAACATTGAACTATTTCAAGCTATTCTTGATATTCTTAATTTTTTGTTAAAGATCTTCTTTTTCATGATAAAACTCTATATAATTATAGTTCTTAATGTCTCTCATAAGTTCTACAATAGTTTTCTCAAAGTAATCCATATTTTTCCTAAGTGAGTACTCTTATCCCAGAATCATATTTCTACACTCATCGAGTGTTTCATAGTATATTTTGAATATATTCTCAATCTTTTTCTGATGATTATCTAACTTATTAATCATAAATTCCTTTTTGGCTTTATAAGTATGTTTTAGCTTGATTACATCCTATTGAATCTGATCACAAATTTCTGACAATACTAAATCATCATGCCCTTGATGAGTAGGCAAACATAACTTACAGAAGAAAGTTTCATTAATTGCACAACAGTACTCTACTTCTGTTTGCTTATGCTTCTTGCAGAAAAACTTCTTAGGAACATAAACAAAGTCTCGGATTTCATCAATAATCTACTTTTTGAACTTTTCTTTTTCAGAGCGAGGCATGAATTTCTTAAAAGTATCTGCTGGGCCTTTCGGAGGAGATTGAATGGGAGAACCCATTCCAGAACCAATATTAAATAGGGCACTTCTCTGCATACTTTCCATTGGACCACCTGGAGAAACTAAGAAAGGTGTCATTGATTATCCGGGTAATTAATGCATATTTCCAAATAAGCCTCCAGGTCTCATTGAATTCTAAAATACTGCTTCTCTTTCATTTTTATCTACAATATCTGAAATACTTGATTTTATAGGTGGACCATTCATATGGCCTATCTTTCCTCCTTTTTTATTTTGCTAATTAACTTGATTTTTCTTGATCGTCTAATTAAAAGCATTATTTCCATAGTTGAAATCAGCAGCCAAATCATTATTGAATCCAAAATCTACTACTGAATCTCGATCAAAGGATTCATCGAAATCTCCCCCTGCTTTTTTGTTATTAAATCCATTCTGATTCATTCCCCCAAACCCTCTTGTGTTTCCGAAGGTAGCCCCCATCTATGCATCCATTTTCATATTCTCAAAATTAATTAACTGACAAATTTATAATTTATCTTTATCGAAATCTTAATTTTAATTTGTAAAGTGGGGTTTTGGGGTTTTGGGGTTTTGGGG